GTGTTGAGCTTCAATGACTCCAACTGATTCCCAGTTTGGTTCATTTGTGCAGAACAGTTGGAGATACAAAGCCAAGCCCATTAATTTCCAAAGAGCAATTGGAACAGAAGAACGAGCTGTCCATCCCCAGGAGGTTTTCAATCTAGGCTCTAACTGCAAGATTCTATTTATGGCATAAGGTGTGTCTTCGAGTTACTCAATTTCCTTCCGTTTCTTCAATATTCTGAATTTTTGAGGAGAGCCTGACAGCTCTTGTTTGAAATGGGAATCCTGTGAAGGAATGAGGAGAAAACTCCTCCAAATTCCTCTGGCCCTTATAATAGTGATCAAAGTGAGGGCCTGGATTGCCTACCTATGATTTTAAATATATACATCTGTGCCCCAGGTGACCTCTGAAAAATCAAACTTAGTTTTAGTTCTATTTCTTATGGATTACTTTTAGAGAAACATGTTCACTTTTGAATGTGAATTTCACTCTCAAGATTGTAAAGTTTAGTTAGCTGCATTGCTAAAGTTACACCACATTTCAATCTCCTAAATTGCTTTAGTTTCCAGATGGAAAAATGAATATTCCCTACAGCTCTATTAGGAATGCCAATTTGCCATCACCCCCTGGCACTGGTCAGTATATTATAATACTACATTAATTTAAGACATGTCCAGGTCCTCTGAGCCCTGTATTTATGTACTAGATGAAACTGCAAGTGGAAATGAATGGGGCTGATGATATTTTCCTTATTTCAATTTTTCTATGAGAAAGAGAAAAGCACTTATGTTTGAAATAAGCAGATGTGAGAACACTTCTCACTAATCAAAATGTTTACCACTAGTTATGAGAGGCTGCCTGTGTAGAAGCAGTGAACCTGACATGTCTGTTTAGTGAGACAAATGTACTTAGCGTGATAGAACCAGAGAGCAGAACTTTTGCAGTTTAAGTCAAGATGACCAGTGGCAACATGACATTTCATGGTTTAGTAGGTCTTGGGAAGTTCATTGATTTGGGCCCAAGAGTTTGTACAGTGGCCCCTTGACTTATGAACTCAATTTATTCATGAGGGCTGGTTGTAACTCAAGTTGGTCAACTGAAGACTCCTCTACACAGCCTTCAAAGTCTTTCCTGTATACAGGCAGTTCTCAGTGTCCTTAAAGAGACATTGGCCCAGGGTTTTTCAATTAACCCCATACAGGAAAGGATGCTGTAATGTTTCTTCCAGAACCCTTTCAGGATTAAATCTGTACCTGAGACCATCTGGAAACACAAGCAGCTGGCTTTTGAGTTGTAACTCAAGACTTTGGTTACAAGTTAAAACAAAAATGCCAGTCATAATCTAAGTTGTTTGTATGTCAAGCCGGTCATAACTCAAGGGTGTACTGTATTGTCTTTTTCAGCACAGACTCCCCCATCAGTATTCCTATAGCTTCAAGTCACAATACCCTATAGTATGGGCAATGTTCACATTGTGTGTGTGTGTGTGTGTGTGTGCGTGTGTGTGTGTGTGTGGAACAGTGTCACTGCAAGATTAAAAGAATTATTTTTGTAAAATATTTTATATTGAAGTAAGGAAATTTCAATTACAATAAGTTAAATCTTTAATATTCTAAAAGACAACAAAAATTGTGCAATTTTCTCAATTTTTCCATGTAGTTCAAAATATTCATATCAAGAAATTTATGAAGTAGCGCATATATGTGACAGAAAATTACTAAAGTGATTTTTTTCCCCCTTTTTTGGAACCAGGACCAAGCTCGGGTCCTTGTGCTTGCAAGGCAGGCAGTGGAACCACTGAGCTAAATCCCTGGCCGCTAATGTGATTCTGAAGAGAGCTTGGCATAATAACCAGTCTAACTTCTCTTTATAACAAAATTATGGCTGTATAGATTAGTAGAAAGTAACACAGGAAAAACATCTGTATTTTCTTGATTAAGACCACTATGACTGTACAATTCACAGTCTCACTCACAACTAGCTTATGCAATAAAACTAGTACTTAACAAAAGGCTATGGGGTCAATGTTGACAAAAAATAACATTGTGGAATATTTACCTCATGATAGACTTTGTTCAAGAGATTTTGCATTAATTCTTTTAATAGTCCCAGAAGCCTTTTAATATTCACAAAATATGCACAATACTTGTAGTGGTCCCATCTTATACATGAGAAAAGTGAGGAGCAGCAGCACCATGTGCCTCCCTCACCGTCACACAGCTGAGAAGTGGTGGAACCAGTGCTTGGTCCCAGGTGGGCTGGGAGCCTGTGTGCCCGACCCTGACACCCAGCTTCCCCCCAGAACATCTGAGTTTAAGTTATCAATCAAGAAACAGTATTGCCTTTGGTAGGAGTTGGAGCCATGGCTAATAGACTGAATGCAAAAAAGAGTAAGGTTCAACCAGCAGCATCCACCCGGGATCCTCTCAAGCAAGTCCCAAGGGGCCCACGTTACCATCTATCTTATTTAATACCGGTATTAGGTGAGAAAACATGTTAGAATATATGCCGCCAATTTTATGTGATGATACATTTAGTGGAACACTCTTAGAAAGTGCTGAGAACAGTTCTGTGAAAGCCATTTAATTCTCTTAAGGAGTTGCCAGAGGTGTTCGTTAATCACAGTGCCTAATCAGACACTCCCGGCTGCATTTCTCTGAATGATGACTCCACAGGCCCAGCGGGGATGAACGGGATAGGCAAACACCTGGACCAAAGGTGTTGGGTCATCCTCGAGTCACAGTCACTCCACAGGCCGGAGTAAAACAACTGAGCCAGTCCATACAAAAGCCACATGGCTTTAGATAACTAGGAGCATCTTCGGTCCTCGCAAACAGAAAAGCCTAACCCAAAAATCAGATGAATGAAAAAACACGTTCGCTTTTGAACAGAATCCCCCGGCTCCAAAATAAGTTAGGGAAATACTGATGGGTTAAAAGAAAAAGAAAAATCACCTAAAATTAAGAGTAATTTACCTATGTGAAATCATTGTTTGAAAAATACAATATTGGCCTAAGTGAAAAGAATGTATTGTACAGCTTGGTTTTTAAAGAGCTGGGAGGTTTTTCCTGCTTTATTTTCAACCAGATCTTCCTTAGCATACTGTCATTTGAGCTACCCTTTAAAAAAAGATACAGAGCTCTGGCAAGGGTTCCAAGAATAATCAAAATTATTAAAGTATGACTACAAGGAACTGGTGTCATGTGATCAAGAGAGAAGAAAACTAAGATGTAACTTCTTTATTGTTTGGAACAATGTGGCAAATTTTCAATCACAATTATCTCTTGTATTCATAGAAATTCATAGATGTATGAATCAAGGCTTTCCTGTCAAATGTAAGGAAGAATCTATTGCAGTCTATAGAATGGCCAAGGACTCTTAGCCCTGGTGATCTTCAAATAGAACCTTAGAAATTTCTGGAAGTCTTGGATAGTTCGCCAATAGGTCTCAGGACAATCTGTAGATCAGAGCTGCAGGTAGAAATAAACAATGCTCCTCCGTGAGTGCCGTGGGGCGTTGTAAGTAAGAGTTGAAGGAAGAAATAGAAAAGGAAAAGAAAAAGAGGAAGAAGAAACCAGTAAAGCAGGAAGCATGTCGGGGGAAGTGGTCAAGATGACATTAATTTTTCAGATGATGTCTGAAGGTCACTCTGAGCTCTCTTATTTAGCAAAATGTAGTATATAACAGCAAGGTCAGCAGGTCAGCAATGAACACATTCCTGCTTACAAGGGACTCAAGAGGCTGGGGATATAGCTTAGTGGTATAGCTCTTGCCTAACATGTGTGGGACCCTAGGTTCTATCCCCAGCACTTCAAAAAGAAAAAGTAAAAGTTACTCAAATTGACCATGACAAATAGATAAATGAAATGGCCAAGAGCTTAGGCACTTCGTGAGCCATCTCCTTTCCCCATTTCCCACTAGACCTCCTTGGGCACAGCCTAAACACCTGAGGGAGTAACTCACTCATTGGTTTAACTCCAATATGGTTCCCACAGAAATGGGAGTGGCTTGATGAGAAGAATGTCAGTTATGGTGTCACCTTGTGCCACCCTCGTCTGGCACAGCTCTGCCCCTGAGCGAGGGGGTGTAACTTAAAGGAAAAGGAGTAACATGGTTCTTATTTCTGAGGTAATGTGCTGATAAAACGAGACTTGAAGGCAGCTTTGACTCCATGTTGAGGCATGGAGGGTGAAATCAGGATCTCAAGTCTATATTTCAGGAGAAATCTGTTCTTATACAGTAGGTTAGGCTAACTTTGACATATGACCTAGACATACATGTGTTCTGTTTAATTGGTTAAGCTATTTTTAAAAGGATGAGAAGGGAACTGTATGATATCACTACTCAAAATCTTCTAGGGACTACTTTGGTGGTCATAAAGTTTTCTTACTACAGGAGATCTTAGAGATCATAAAAATTCCATCTTGGGTGCATGGTTGAAGAAACAGTTCCATAAAAGAGAAGGAGCAGACATAGAACCAGCTCGAATCTCCTTCCTCTCTGCAAGTATTTCCCCAGAAAGCCAGATTAAAATGGAAGTGGCATTCTAATGGCATCTTTTTCTCAACAACACCCACACACAGATTCATAGAGTTCTGCAGTGGCACATGACTGTGGATAGACTCACCCAGAAAGCATAAAGTAGGAGAGCAAACACTTGGCAAAGGTGAAGCATTCCATCACTGGGTCCTGATGCCAACACTCCCCTGCAGCCTGATCGTCTGCTTAAATAGGTCACAGTGATCACCAGTCAGTGCCACCCGGATTCCATGGAAGGGCTAGCAATCTGCCTGGTTTCATACTACTTCTCAATCCAGATATTTGCATGAGAAGGAACAGTGAAATCAGCCCTCCTGCTTCTAGGTAGAAGCTCAACCCTGGATGTCTCTCTCCATGAGTTCCTCCTAGAGCTAATCAACTTATTCTGATATATCTTGAATCTTATTTATTTATGGTATGAATCTGAATCCAGTCTAATTTTTTACAAATGAAATTATTCTAAATACAAACCATGAGCTTTGCACAGTGACAGTATCATAGCCAATGAGGTTCATCCGAGGCACAATTATTGCTAATTGAAAACTAAATGCAAACTATGTTTGTAGGAAGTTAGTCACATGCTCATTATTAGGTGAAGAAATTTAGACAATACAAGCGTATAAAACAGAAAGTGATATTTCCCATCCTGTCCAATACTACTCCCTTGAGATAATCATTGTTAACAGTGTGGTTTACGTCCTTCCTTTTGTGCATGTAGGAACATGTTTATAAGTATTGATTTTTAAAAGCTGCTTACTAAAGAGCATAAACAAAACCTTTCCTCCTTTTTTTCTGTGCTAGGCAATGCAAGAATACTCTACCACTGATTTACAGCCCCAACTCTTTTTTTAAAAAATCTTTTTATTTGGAAACAGCATTTTGCTAAGTTGCCCAGGCTGTGCTTCTCCTGCCTCAGCCTCCAGAGTACCTGCATCACTATGCTTGGCTAAACTCTCTCTTAATAATGTAGGAAACCCCTTTGGGGGTTCTAAAAATAAAAACAATATAAGTAGAGGATGAGCACAATCTGGTTTGACTTTGGCAGGTGTTGTAATCAGGATTTACAAAGGAATAGATTTAATACGGGTCACATACTTTATAGGATTATTTTATAATATTCATCCAAAAAGTCAAATGCAGAGGAATGCAAGAGATCTGTCCACACACTAGAGACCTGAAGAATCCAGCAAGGGGCCTGGATCCCATGGCAATGTCCCCCACTAGTCCAGCTGATGGCCTAGACCCCCAAGGCAGTGTCCCTCATGGGTCCAGCCAGAGTCCTAGAGCCCGTGGCAATGTCTCATGCAAGTCCACAGCCAGGATCTGCACTGGGAAGGCCCAGAGGCCAGGAGTGGAAGTTAAAACATCTGTGCCTGCGAGCTGCAGGGTGAAGGATCTGTGCCACCAGGCTGAGGGATCTAAATGGAGCCAGGAAGTGATACTCAAGGCAATGACCAGAGCTGCCCTGAAAAGAACAGCAGCCATCCTGGCAACAGTGAGGATCCGAGCTCCAAGCTCTTCCAATGATGAGAACCACCAAGTCCGTAAAAAGTTATTTTTCTCGGTCTGGGGATTTAGCTCAGTGGCACTGTGTCTGCCTCATAAGTGCAAAGTCCCCAGTTCGATCCCCAGTACCAAAAAAAAACAAAACAAAAAAACAACAAAAGTTACTTTTCTCTCATTGTTGAGACAAAATACCTGACACCCATAGTTAAGAGGAAAGGTTTATTTAGCTCACAGTTTGTGGAGGTTTCAGTCCATGATCAGCTGACTCCAAGGCAGGGTGTGTTGCAAACAGGCATCACAAAGGATGCAACAAGGGAAAAGGTAGCAGGTGACCCCAACAAGTCAAATCTGGTCATTTAAAAATAGAATTCTAGGGCTGGGGATTTAGTTCAGTGGTTCCGCCGCCTGCCTTGCAAGCACAAGGTCCCAAATCCAATCCCCGATACCAAAAAAAAAAAAAAAAAAAAAAAAAAAAAAAAAAAAAAAAAAAAAAAAAAAAAAAAAAAAAAAAAAAAAAAAAAAAAAAAAAAAAAAAAAAAAAAAAAAAAAAAAAAAAAAAAAAGAATTCTAGGGCTGGGATTTAGCTCAGTGGTGCCACAGCCTGCCTCACAAGCACAAGGTCCTGAGTTTGATCCCCAGTACCAGGAAAAAAAAAAAAAGGAATTCTAGCTGTTATTATAATTACTAATAAGAACTATGGAAAAAGATGATTTTTAAATGCTATTCTGCTGAGTTGTAGAAAAGCCTTAAGCATGGGAAAGCTGTATTTCATAGTCACTGTCATCTTATTTGACACTCATGTGAGTCTACTTGGCACAATCTTTCCAGTGCTCGTTATTCTCTGGCGACTTCTCTTGGTTTCTGTTGTCACACTGGGCAGGGTGCTGTTTTCTTGATATACAGGGAGGCGGTTTTGACTTGGTCTGATCTGAAGGAATGTTCTCTCCAGTGTCTATGACTCAGGCCAGTTCACACCCCAGTCTGTGGGCTGTGCCCCCACTGGTTGCATGGAAGCAACATAGCCTCAGGTGCTGTTCATCTGAAGGGCTCCCAGGGCCACTGCTCAGGAAGGGACACCTGCACTTGAGAAAGAAGAGCTGCTCCCGGACGAGTGCTGAGCCTTGCAGCCTATAATCAGAAGAGGATAACTTTGCCCATGAACCGCTGGCTGTACTGGTCTCAGGCTGTTTAGTCCTCTAGAGCTGAATAGGGCATAAAGGGGTGAGGTAGGTGGAGTGTGTCATTAGCACAGGTCCCAGAGGATCTCCTGCATGGTGGCCTGAGATACCAGTGACTCCTGCTCAGCTAGAAGAAAGGTAAATCCTAAATGATTGTCAGGAATCCCAAGGCTGCATGGTTTAGGCACTACTGGGACCTTTAATCTAAATTTCGTCACCACATTCTCGGTGCTCCTAGAACAGTGGCTGCATCTGTAGCACAGGGTTAGCAATACACATCTCCAGAGGAGAATCAAGGGTTTGATGCCCATGATTGGTGCTGAAATACAGATGAAAACCATAAACTTTCATTTGTAACAATCACAAAACATCCCCCAATTTCTTCTGCTATCCTAGGTTTTTCAACAATTAATTGTTACTTGAAATAAGTAGGGCAATATTTCTCAAACTGAGTGTCACAAGTTCTGAAATAATTTTTTTTTTAATTTGGGGCTTTCCTTTGTATTATGATCTAAGAAAAGTAATGTAAGAGTGCTCCAGGCCATCTGGGTGAACATCTAAGTAATCAGTATAATACTGCCTTGATTTTGTTAACTGCATTTGTGTTTCAAACAACACTGGTGCTAACCTCTAGTGACATGCTGTACACAAGACTGGGTACAAGACAACATGCTAAATTGATCAATCAACACAGTCAATCAATAGATAAAAACAGAAATATAAGTACGAAAACTAACAGCAATAACAACAATGAAGGCTCAAGTAATGGCCTATCCTATTCAAGATAAACTCATCTCCTAGTGAAATGAAAACAATACATCTTCCTATTATTAAACCCAACACCAGCAATTTAGTTTCCATACACTACCGTCTATAACATTTTAAGTGTTGAATTTTACTTACTTTAAAATTATGGATATTTACTTGAGTAAATATATTTTGGTACTACGTTTAAGAGGCAAAATCCTAAAACAAGTATATAGCCAGTTTTATGTTTATAATCAAGTATTGCTACTTTTAAAAATAACTGTTACTTTAAAAAAATAATTAGGCTGATCAGAATTTTTTTCTGTTAAAAGCAGTACACAAATTGGTCAGATTTGGGAAGCACTAGCATTAGCTAGGATTTAGTCTTATGAAATAAAAGTTTCATTCTTATATGAGCCACTATACAGAAATCTCAATGACTTGTTTTCCTTTTTTCTTTCTTTCTTTTCCTCCCTTCCTCCCTTTCCTTCCTTTCTTCCCGTCTCTCTCTGTCTTCCCGTCTCTCTCTGTCTCCCTCTCTCTCTCTGTCTCTCCCTCTCTCTCTCTCTCTCTCTCTCTCTCTCTCTCTCTCTCTCTCTCTGAGAGATAAGATCTTGTTGTGTTGCACAGGCTTGCCCTGAACTCCTGGGCTCGGGAGATCCCCCTGTCTTAACTTCCAGAGCAGATGAGATGAGAAGTACTTAAGTACTTGCCACTGTGCCCAGCTCCTCAGTAACTTTCAAGCAGAGATTTGAAACTGACAGATCTTCCTAACATTATTCAAAGTCTTCTTTTTAAATGAACATTTATTCTTACTTTCATTTACTCATTCATCCAACATTTAATACCTTTTATTTTCTAGTCGTAGTGCATATCTAAGGGATAGCATCCTATTAATCTAGTTCTGTAATGATATCATACTATTTTAATCAAACTAGCATTACGATGCATTTAAAAATCTAGCAAAGTCATCATCATTGTACTTTGATTTTTTTTCAGATACACATTACAATATTTTTAAAGTTCTTTCTAAAATTTTATTTGTATATCTATTAGCAATGTATAACAAATGAGAACTCTATTTCATCTTTACTATTAAAATATAGTAGGGCCAGGGATTTAGCTCAGTGGTCTGGCGCCTGCATCACAAGTGCAATGGCAGGAGTTTGAACCCTGGTCCAAA